AACTTCTTTGATGCCAAATATCCAACTAAACAATGTTTTTCTTTTATTACTCCTATGATTAATAACTCTCCCGTATGTATGTTTACACTGATTTACTTGGCGCATGAAATTATAATTTTTTACAAAATGTTTCCGGAAGAAATGTATATAACAATAACTCAAATGTTAGACTTCATAAGCACAACGTTAGAAATATAGTAAACAATAATGTATATTAAAATTATATTTTTTTGGGCCTGAAGACGATTGCTTGTCCGTATTCACATTTTCTCATTGCGTATAGAGCTTGCACAATGGAAAGTAGATTTATTCAGTAAAAAAAATAATCATAGTCCGTTTATTTTACAACACTTGGTTGAATCTGGAAATATCAGTCGCTGCGGCCTCCATGGTATTGGTGACCGTTAAAGGCGTGGCGAAAAGACAGTTTAAATCCATGGCTTTCTATTGGTTGTTACATCAAGCAGGCTGATTGGTCAATCGACTAACGATCAACCCTCCCTTCGTAGCCAATGAAATTAACTTAACACGTAAACACGGACCTTACAATGTGCTTATTATATTGTAAAACTTTTTTTTTTTTTTCTTTTGAGAATGGATGGTTTGAAATATAGTAAGGAGATACGACGTACTTTTTTTGAGTATGGATGGTTTGAAATACAGTAAGGACATACGACGTACTCTTTATTGAGTATGGATGGTTTAAAATATAATAAGGAGATACGACGTACTTTTTTTTTTTTAGTATGGATGGTTTAAAATATAGTAAGGAGATACGACGTACTTTTTTTGAGTATGGATGGTTTAAAATATAGTAAGGAGATCGGCAGGTACGTACGTGGAAAGGCGGTTGCAACATCCTCGGCCTTGTAACGGACGGGTAGGCTTGAGTTTCGAGGCCCGGTCAGTGCATACGGAATCTGTAGCAGCTGATAACATGAAGTATTCTGAGCACTAGCGGTGTGAATCAGCGTCAATGATATTCTACGTAGTGAACACATATAGATAGATATAAATCATGTAATTATGATAATAATGACAATAAAAAATGTATGATAATGATAAAAGTAATAAGGATAATGATAATAGTAATAATGGTAATAATAATAGTAATACTACTACTACTGCTACTACTACTACTAATAATAATGATGATATTGATGATGATTATAACAATATTTATTATCTTTATTATCAATAGTAGTGGTATAACAATAACATTAATTATAAGAATAAATAGTCATCATAAGGATGATAATAATTTTGATAATACTAATACTAATGATACCAATGATGATTATAATAATGATTATGATAATTATAGTAATAATGACGACAATGACAACAATCATAATAACAATTGTAACGATAAAGATAGTAATGATGATAAAGATAATCACAATGGTAATGATAATGACAATAACATATGTAAAGACTATTATAATACTGATGATGATAATGACGGTAACAATGATAATAACAATAGTAATAGTAATGCTAATTTTAATAACAATAATGACAATATAATAATAATAACGATAATGATAATACTGATAATAACAGCAATAATAGTGAATACAGTATTAATAATGAGGATAATGATAATAATAATAATAATAATAATAATAATAACAACAATCACAGTATCATTAACAATTAATAATAATGATAATGATAGAAATTATAATAATAATAACAATGATAATAATAATAATGAAAATAAAAATCATGACAATGTATAAATACTAATAATGAAAATGATAACAATAATATGCATCAGCCGCATCATCATCATCATGAAAATTATAATAATAATAGTAATAACAATGATAATGAGAATGATAATAATAATAATAGCAATAATGATAATGATGATAACAATGATAATAATAATAATAGCAATAATAACAATGATGATAACAATGATAATAATAATAATAGCAACAATAATAATACAAACAACAAAAGTAACACTGATAGAAATAATAATTATCATAATGAGTATAACAGTAATAGTAATAATAATAACAATATAATAATAAATATAACAATAATAGTAATAATAATAATGATAATAATAATAATAATAATAATAATAATAATAATAAAAACAATAACAACAAGATTAATAATGATAATGATAATAATAATAATAATGATAATAACAATAACGATAATAATAATCATCATCATCGTAATGATCATAATAAAAAACAATAACAATAGTAATAATAATAAGAATATTAATGATGATAGCAAGAATAAGAAATAAGATAATAATCATAATAATAATAATAATAATAATAAAAATAATGACAATAACAATAATAATAACAATACTAGTAATAATGATGATAATAAGAATAAGACTAACAATAATGATGATAATGATATTGATAATAATGATAATAAGAATAATGATAACACTAACAACAATGAAAATGATGATATCAATAATAATAATAACATCTAATAATAATAATGATAATAATAATGATAA